CCAGTTGCAAGCGAGAACCTGCGGGCGCCCCCCCTCCTGCACGTCCCTCTCGGGCTGCTGGGTGTCTCTCTCTTTCTCCAGAGGCTCGGATTTGCTCCCAAGGAACCTGAAGAGGGGCGTTTTGTGGGGGTTTTGCTTGCTTGGCTTGTTCGTTTGAAATGAAGGCTCAGCCTTTTTGGCGGCCCTGAAGGAAGTGTGCAAAGTCCACAAGTGCTCCTCGGGTGGGGTGGGGCCGCCTTTTTAAAAAAAGGACAGTGGCTGCAAAACAGTCTCTCTCTTAGCTGCGCCTAGGAGCGGCTCCATCTCTGAAAAAGTTGGAGTGTGTGTGTGTATGCGTGTGTGTCTAGGGAGGAGGCCCGTACCTCCCCTTTCTTTGTTGAGGGAAGGGGGGGTTCTGCCTTGGGGGGTGATGGGCCGCCGAGTCCTCCGTGCGCAGAGCCCCACCCTCGGCTGCTTTGTGAGAGGGAACAGCCTTCTCTTCCCCCCCCCCATGTGTTGCTAAGGGAATCTGTTGTTTAACGCTGAGGTTGCGTCCTGGCAGCGAAGGGCAAACTGAACTCTCAAGTCGATCTCTCAAGTGGTCCTTAGTTTAAGAGAAATCACCAACCCCTTTTTTACTGTTCCTGTGGGCTCATATAGTTGCCAGTGGACTAGCAGGGTTGCATCATGTCCCCCAACTTGCACACAACAAGACCCCTAATACAGTATTTATTTTCCCCCACTGAGATGCATTGAATAGGTTTCAATGCATTTCAATTGGGGAACCGCGTTTTGCTTTAACAATGTTTCCTATGGCGATTTTCGCTTAAGGACGGCAATTCGTTCCTATTGGAACTGATTATCCGGTTTTCAATGCATTTCAAAGGGAAACTGTGTTTTGCTCAGAAATTGCTTAGCAGCGATTTTTTCGGAACTAATTAACATCGCTAAGTGAGGCACCACTGTAGTCCAGCTTACACAATGAATTGATAAACCAAAGGTATTTATACATCACTCACAGAATACATTGCACTATGGAGCAGTATATAAGTTACAAACCAACAAACAGGGAAGTCTTCAGAAAAACAAAATATCACTCTCAAGGCAGACTTAGAATTAAAGTATCAAGACTCTGGAACAGAACCTAGTAGCCACTGGTGCTCCATGACTTTTCATCATGACTTTATTTTGCCATTCTAAAGTATTATTTGGTCATTGTTAAGACTACCCTTGTCTTCAATTTGAAGGAAGTCTTGAATACTATTATGAATACTATTTAAAAGCGACTTTTACCTTAAAGACATGAAAGGCTTCAAATTGAATGTTGCGACTCTTATCTCGTAAAAGGTTCATCATTAGTTTGAGATTTTCAGGTTTACTGATGTACTTTGTCATAATTGTGAAGTTGTGTCTATCCAACAGTAATTCACCAAGCAGCTACAGAAATGAAAAACAGAAAAAAGAGAACTAAATGGAATTTTTCTATGGTACAAAATACCTTCAACACTAGCAGAGGCAAGGGTTGCACTGAACTCTATTCTCTGTTAACAACTGTTGTTGTTCATACCCCGACACTGTGATGTTATTGTACACTGCTCACTATGTGAAGCAGAAAAATCTTACACAACTTTTCTAATTACACCACTAGAAAGAAGCATATCCTTACCATGCTCTCTCTCTCTCTCTCTCTCTCTCTCTGTGTGTGTGTGTGTGTATTGCATCACTGGATGGCTTAGTGCGGATGGGGGTGCAGCACACATACCTTGTTTTGTGGATTGGTTTATATGTAAGGAAAAGTTTGTTTTTACAACTAAGCCATCATGATGAATTGGGTTTACAGTACAAAAGGGAGATGGACATGTATATGTCTGAAAATTATGGAGATCTATAAATCCACAATGGTAAAATCTATATTGATAAGGCACACTGGAAAGTGAGATATGTAAACTTGTTAACAACTGTGAAAAATTCCTGAAAGGGAGCACTAAAAATTAAATCAAGATAATATGTTTGTCTCTTGAACTATAAAATTTGACATTTCAAATTTTTGTGAACAATTTAGCAGCCAAAGCAGGACAAATGGCTTGCCTAGCCCAGTGGTTCTTAACCTCTGTTACTCGGATGTTTTTGAACTGCAACTCCCAGAAACCCCAGCCAGCACAGTTGGTGGTGAAGGCTTCTGGGAGTTGCAGTCCAAAACTCCTGAATAACCCAAGGTTAAGAACCAGTGGCCTAGCCTACTGCTACACCATCATCATGGAACTACACAGCTGGAAGTGACCTTATAGATCATCAAGTCCAGCCCCTGTCAAGGATGCACAATGGAGAACTGAACTCCTAACCTCTGGCTCCACAGCCAGATGCCTAAACCACTGAGTTATCTAGCATTTGAAAACAATGATTATAAAAATTGTGCTGAAATTAGCTTAGTTGCAAACTTGTAGAATCTTGTTACCTTAAGTGACTGTCGTTTTGTCACATAGTTTTCTGAGTGGAGCAATTTCTCATATTCACTGAAGAACTGAATGAAGAAAGAAAAAATCAGGATTTTTCTAAATATGATAAATATGCTGATCTCACATGATTTCACTGAACCAGAAGAACAAATGCAAAACAGAAATAGAATGACGCAAGGACTTAATATTCCAAATGTTTTGCTATTTAAAATGCTACAACTGTTTCTTTATGACACTGCAGAGACTCTTTAACAAACATTTACAGGGGCTAGAGGAAATTTTAAGGCAAGAGTAGAGAATAAAAGTGACTTTATATTTTTTATTATCAGATGTGGCCAGTAGAGGGAGCAAAGTTGTTACACATGCCCTTATGCTCAGTTAAATATTAGAAGAATGGGAACATAATGAGGAAGTATCCTTTGACTTATTATTAGATCTCATTTTTAGGAATCTACAGTCAGGATCCTGACATATGGCATACTTATCTATGCCAATGTAAGCAAATGGACATAAACTGTAGTAGTGAATTATTACTTGTCAAGGACCCAGTGCTGGTATTCCTTATCACATCACAGTGTCAAAAATACAAATATACAAACACAAATGCTGACTTCTTAACTAGTGGCTATTTGCCATTGCAAATTGCACTGTTGCACTTATACTGTTATATGTAAGAAATAAAATTCTCATGAACAATTGCAAAAATTTGCTGACAAAAACTGAAAAATCAAGATGCAGGTAACATGCTAAGCAAACAGGAAAATGATAGGGATATGCATCAACCACAAGATAACGGTTAGCATCCTGACTTAGAAAATTCATTTCATATTCAGATCTAATTCAACTTCAGTTTGAATTTGATCCTCAATTCCAAAATCAAAATCTTCATTCATCCCACAGATTAGCACCAACGCTCCATTGCTTTTCTCCCCTTGTTGTCACAATGTTACAAGAGGAGATTACACCTGCAAAAATTCAGACAATGGGTTCAAGCTCCACTCCAAAAGGGAAGATATATCCTTTTGGTGTAGATACCTAGGATAGAGTGATAAGACTAGTGAGTTTGAGTCCCATTCAACCATGGAAGCTCACTGGGGGAATAGATGTGGCAAGACCACTCCTTAAGTATCTCACTTAACTTTAAAGCCCTATTAGGGTTGCTATAAATCAGTTCTGACTTGAAGAATTTTGTGACAATTTAGATGAAACTGGCATGCATTACAGAGATGTCCATATGTAAGAACAATTAAGATTGGTCACACAAAAAGAACCATCATTCACACCCGTCAACCAGCAAGTGTGAATGAGGGTTGGTGAATCATACAGTATCACAGAGGCAATACATTAAGAATGATTAGCATTTTCCAAGGAACACCCAAATGCTACACTCTCCCAGACCCCACCAATCCACTTTCAACATTCCCGCTTTTAAACACAAGGACGTCTGTAAAACATTACTTTAGCATTCCTCTTCCAAAATGTGATTTAGGCAGTCCTGGTAAAACTATACACTCTGAATAGATGCTAGAGTTGCCGGACAGAATACTAGATTACCTCATTTCTTTCTTTTGTTTCTTCTCCCCAAAGTTATCCTTTAATGGAAAACCTGGGGACCCATGTACCAGTTTTTGTAGAGGCACTGTGTCCCTTTGTACTCAAATTGCTAAAGAATCTTCATAATTCAAGTTCAGACCAACCTGGATGACTCCTAAATCTATCTGAACTAGAGCAATTTGCTTCTGGAAGTCAGATATTAATTTTATGTATTTGTTAAACATATATACCGCCCCATCTAGAACGGACGGTTTACATAAAACATAAAAAACCCTAAATATAACATCAAAATTAACTGCAGAGTCCAAGATGGAAAAAAAAGAGAGGAAAAAAGAAAAGAAATAGGCTAGGTCACTGGTTCTTAACCTTGGGTTACTCAGGAGTTTTGGACTGCAGCTCCCTGAAGCCTTCACTACCTGCTGTGCTGACTGGGGTTTCTGGGAGTTGCAGTTCAAAAGCATCTGAGTAACAAAGGTTAAGAACCACTGGGCTAGGTGATGGCTGTAGGGAAGGCCTGCCTATATAGCCATGTCTTCAGATTGGTCTTGAAAGGCCCTCAGCAAGGGAGCCAGGCACATCTCTACAGGTTAGTTGTTCCAGAGGTGAGGAGCCACTGTTGAGAAGGCCCAATTTGGCATTAGGCCCCTTAGCCACCTGGCCTTACTGGAATGGGTGATACGGGTAGAACTAAGCAGAAGAAGGCGCTCTGCCAGGTATCGAGGTCCTAAACAGTTTAGGGCTTTATGTGTAATAGTTAACACCTTGAAATCGATGCAGAAGCGGATAGGTAACCAGTGTAAGGCAGCCAGGGTGGGGGAAATATGGTGAAATCTTTTCACCACTGTTAATAACTTGGCCGCCATGTTCTGGACCAGTGATTCTTACCCTTGGGTTACTCAGCTGTTTTTGAACTGCAACTCCCAGAAACCCCAGCCAGCACAGCTAGTGGTGAAGGCTTCTGGGAGTTGCAGTCCAAAAACACCTGAGTAACCCAAGGTTAAGAACCCCTGTTCTGGACCATCTGAAGCTTCTGCATCAGTCTCAAAGGAGGCCCCACGTAGAGAGCTTTACAGTAGTCTATTCTTGAGACTACGAGCACATTGACCAATGTGGTGAGCACCCCCATGCCTAGACAGGAATGCAGCTTGGCGATCCGCTGAAGATGTAAGTGGGTGGACTGAACCACGGACACTACCTGGGTCTCCATGGTAAGGGCTGGGTCAAGATGGACCCCCAGACTGCGAACCCCCCAGCGGCCTTATATAGATGTTAAACAGCATTGGGGAGATGAGAAAACCCTGTGGAATTCCACAATTGAGGGACCAAGGGGCCAATACATTCTCTCCAAGCTGGACTCTCTGGGGACGGCTCTCCAAGAAAGAGCGGAGCCAACCAAGAGCAAGGCCACCATTCCCCAATGCCGAGAGCCTCCTCAGGAGGATACAGTGGTTGATGGTATCAAAGGTGGCTGAGATATCACGGAGGACGAGCAAGGACATTTTGTCCCTGTCAGAATCCCTAAGTAGGTCATCCAGCAGGGCGACCAATGCCCTGCTGGATGACCAATGTCAACCAAATTGACTGATGTCAACTTCCAATATTACTTTCTGAAATAGAATGGAGCCTTCTGTGCAAGTACACCTGAATATGAAGTATTCCCCTAGAAAGTTCTATTATATTCTCATGCAGTGGGCAACTCTTCTGATGTATGTTACAAAGAAATAAAAATACATACCCTATCATAGTGCTGTTCCAAGAACTCTGCACTCAGCAGCTTGTGCCTTGTAAGTAAATCCTGCAAATAAATTATTGCACTGTTATTTATGAGGTACTACCTTTCACATCCTATACTTTGTTTCTTCACCAGTTACTACACCCATTTTCCCTAGTTTTGGCAACCAAGACAAAGGGGTTAGTCAAATATTTGAGAGATAAACATTTATATTCAGTTTCTCAGGGTCTGATAAATATCATTGACCTCATCAACAGGCAATGAATATGAATTCTGTAGATCATTATATTTATAGCTCTTTCCTATCCTATACAAATGATTAACTTTGAACCACAATACATCAATACAGTACAGTGGTACCTTGCTAGACGACCCCGCTGTATGACGAATCTGCAGGACGATGACTTTTTGCGATCGCTATAGCAATTTGCAAAACAGTCATTCCTATGGGGGAATTGTGCTTGATGACGATTTGGTCCATGCTTCACGGACCATTTATTCGCAAGACGACGATCTTTACAGCTGATTGTCGGGTTCCTAAAATGGCTGCCCTGTGTTTTCCGGAGCCATGCTTTGCAGGGCAGCCATTTTAACAGCTGATCAGCTCTTGGAAAATGGCTTTCCCTATGGGCGATCTTTGCTGGACAATGAGGTAATTTCCCCCTTGGAACGCATTAAATGGGTTTCAATGCATTCCAATGGGGAACTGTTTTTCGCATGACGACTATTTCGCTTAACAGTGATTTTCCCGGAACGGAATATTGTCGTCATGTGGGGCACCACTGTATTTAATCATTCCTTATTTCACCTCCAGGTACAGTCAGACTGACTTTTTTTGTTATATATTTCCCTGAAGCTTAATAAAGAAGGTCATATCTATATCTATATATGGCTGTTAAACAATAGACTGAATTACCTTGAAAGTGGCAAAAGCATCTGAAGCAATGTCAAATGTAGACATTTCCACATATCTGAAGAAGTCATAAAACTGCTCTGACCACAAAATTATTTTTGCCAATGGTTCGTGTCTGATGCACTCTCTTAACATGATTCCACAATTCAGTGCGATTTCTGGGGATTCATACCTGTCAATGAGAATCAACATAAATACTTGACACACAACTATAATCACAGCAAAATACTTAACACATATTCCTAATAGCCTGCTCAAAACATTTCAGCAATTAAGGAACACATATCAGTACAAAAAACTCTACAAATATTTAGTGAACTGGCTTACAGGAATGATTTTCATATTATTTAAAATTTTCTAATTTTGAACATGAGTTCAGACTTGCACAAGAGCTTCTCAGTCTCACATTCAGACTAGTGACACAGATTAACACTTCATGCCATTATTCAATTTAAACGTTATTAACAGGATAAGACACTTTTCTAGTCTTGGAAAATTGACAGCCCACAAAACATACAATTACACCAATCAATTGCCCTGCACTTTTCTACAGTCCTATTCAGGAGTTTAAAAATGTACTTACTCACCACCCAAACAAGGAAAACATGCTACTCTTAATACTCTCCACTTTCAGTTCCACTGCCCTTCTACACACAGAGTGTGGCAGTCTGAACCCAAAAACCTCTATTAACCGTGGAGACATTTCATATGAATTAGACAATAAGTGTTCGATGTCACATGTAGAACTCACACAGTCAGAGGATACTCCCTCATTGTTATGTCATTCTCCATGTGTAAGAAGATGAAAAAAATAATGAGAAGGTAGAACTAACACCGCTCTCTCTCTCTTGCTGAATATTCAACATGCTTTCAAATACCTGAACTGGCCTAATGTTATGGACTAACTGGAATTTTCACTAAATTTTCACACTGATTCAGCTGAACTATAACACACACTATCTAAAATAAACACATTTTACTTATTGTGTAACCATGCCTATTCATACATTAGGATTCTTCTGGCAACAGATTCCACCATCTGAAAAGCTGTCAAGATAATTAGTTTCTTCTGGAGTCGTGTGTGATACAGTAAGAAGTATATATATTTTTTTGTCTTCTCTCTTTGTTCCACATACAGATAACTGCTTATCTCCCCATGAGGAAGGTGGGTTGTATCCTTACCTAAGAAATAATTCTAGTTTCAGATTAACAGTATGTGCTGACAATGGTTTATTACCTACATCTCTCCAGCATCTCTGCTAAGTGAACATTCCAACATCTGTCACTTCAATAATATGAACATTATAGCTCCTCAACTTTCACATTTGTAGATTAAACTGATGATTTTTTTTAAAAAAGACACTACCTTTGATGCTGGCAGCAAGTGGAAAAATAGCCTGACAGGGCCTATTTGGGATCCTATCTGGAAGATCCTTCCAAAGACTGAGCCTTGAGAAACGCCAGTCTGTTTGCTTTTTGTCCCGTTTCTGAGGCAAGCGGACATTTGGAGCAGCCTCTTTGATAACAATGATAATGTACAGGCAGGTGGGTTTGAGAGCTGGCAATTCTTTAGATATTCTGGTCCCATACCAATGATGGGAAATGTCAAATTCATAACTCCAGATCTTGCTGGATCCACCAAGATACACATAGGTTCAGGTTGCAGAACTGGCTGAGAGTGGTTTTTACCAGCTTTGTATGACTACCACTCTCTCATTCAGACATTGTGATCCTCATCCATATGCTAGGCACAAAGCCACACTTTACTACTATAGAACCTCTCACTAATATGCTTGCATAATATTCTCATGGGGATAGAATGTCCAGAGCATGTACATTGGTACTGGAGTATCTGGAAAATTTCCCTGTTATTTGAACAAAACACTGAAATTCTTGTTTGACTTGACAAATCTTTGAATGGCTAGAGTGTAATACAGTTAGAATGTATCTAACCCTATCTAAGTGATTGTAAGAGCTAACAGCATAATACTGTGTTGTTTTCTGTACAGATTCATTGGGATGCAAAAAGTCAAGAGCTGAAAAACTACACAAAATTTCCTCTGTGCTGTATACCATCTTGATCCTGGTTTTGTATTCTGGGATAAAGGAGGATCCTGGTCATGGAATGAGACATTACTTACGAGCACTAGTTATATTTTAAGATTGTGTTATGCCTGTATCATCTTCTCAGCAGCTGTGTTCATTTCTGTTTGTTCTCTTAATTTTTTAATGTGTTTCTCACTACCTAAGGAACAGTGACTGTCTTACAACAAGAGATACAGTACAAATCAAGCAAGCAGCACAGAAGTGGTATCTACAGTACATTGCTTACCCAAAAACGGCATGGTGAGAGGAAACAGATTTTTAAAAGAAAATTGGAACACGTGTGATTCAAATCATTACATCCATAGAAAACAGTCCAAGAAAATTATTGTTTCATTGTGTAAAAAGGCATCCAAAAGTTTTTAGTGAGATTTTTAGGTGAATGAACTTTCATATTTTGTTACTTCTCACTTTAAGTGACTATACAGAATTTTTTTAAAGACCCCAGAAGATTTCATTTCCTTTTGGAAAAACTGTCATGAATACCCTTCTCTCTTCCAAACAGCGCAACACACTGCTTCATGTTTGTTTCACTGTGACTGGACGCAGAACAAAAAAATCAAGTACTGTATGATGCTCTGCTAGAACACTGCAGATGATAAAAAGGAAAGGAAGTGGCAATCTGGCAGGGAGCGTACACAATGAATTGCCCTTTATTTGGCCATGTTAAAGGAAAAGTGTTCAAAATGTCCTATGAGGATAAGAATCATATTTCAAAAGGAATCCGACAAAATTTTAGACCAGGACTTCAGTCTTAAACCCTGTTCAATGAATGCAAGACAACTCAATGTTTTGAGTTAGTTTGCACAGGAAGACAATACCAATAATCATGAAAAGGAGAGTTATGAACAAATTTCTGAAAAAGTTAACTTCATATACAGTAAAGTTTGTAGCCAATGTGTTTGTTGAGCATCCTCCCCAAAATTCTAGGGATCCCAATATTTATATTCAGGCTTGAGTATGAGGGGAATGCGGAAACCCTCCAGATGTCAATCCCCCCCGCCAAGTTTTGACACACACTGTTGTGAGGAATCTGACCTGAGAATGGCCATTCATCCTCCCACAAACTTTCAGGTCACTTCCAGTTTTGCAAAAAAGGCTATAAAGCCCAAAGTATCTTGGGCCCGAAAATGGAACCAAATTACCAGGGCTTGAAAAATTGTAGAACGTCTCACCAGTCATTCAAAAATTTCAGCAGTCAGCTTAGGACTAGGAGACTAGACTCTAGGAGAAGGCTAGAGCGTAGGTGGAGGAAGGACCCGACAGAACACAATTGGATAGCTGTCAGGGTTGCAACTAACCTTTACCTGGCTAAGGTAAAGGCTGCTTGTCGTACATACTTCTCTAACCGGATAAGCGAAGCCTCAAATCAGCAGGCGGAGTTATTCCGTATAGTGTGCAACCTATCCGGAATTTATCTGAGTGATGGGCCTCCCCCTAGTTTTTCACTGGACAAATTTGCAGCATTTTTAAAATCTAAAGTGGAGGCCATCCGCCAGGAGCTCTCTCCTTTTTTGAATACAGTGAGTCGAGCTGAGATGTCCAGCGCTCCATCTTGCCTGGTGACTCTTGATCTCTTTCAACCTGTGACGCCAGACACTGTGGACAAAGTGCTTGATCGCTGTCGGGCCACCACATCCTCTCTTGACCCTTGTCTGGCCTGGCTAATCAAAGCAGCTAGGCCGATAACAACAGAATGGGCCACAGCAATAATAAATGGGTCTTTCCTTGAGGGCAGGTTTCCACCAGCCCTCAAGGAGACACTCATTAGACCCATAAGAAAGAAACTTAATATGGCAGCAGACGAAATTGGCAATTATAGGCCCATCGCCAATGTTTCTTTCATCAGTAAAGTGGTCGAGAGGGTGGTCGACCAGCTTCAGGCTCATTTGGATGAAACAGATGCCCTGGATCCGTTTCAGTCGGGCTTCAGGCCACACCACGGTACAGAGACGGCATTGGTTGCCGTGTACGATGCCCTGTTGAGGGAGGCTGACAGGGGCAAAACATCTCTGTTGGTCCTTCCCAACATCTCGGCGGCCTTTGATACCATCAACCATGGTATCCTCCTGGGGAGGCTCTCTGAGTTGGGAATTGGTGGCTTGGCGCCTGCCTGGCCCCGTTCCTTCTTGGAGGACCGTCCCCAGAGAGTACAGCTTGGGAAGAGTGTTTCGGCCCCGTGGAATCTCAATTGTGGGGTTCCACAGGGGTCGATTATCTCCCCAACGCTGTTCAACATCTATATGAGACCACTGGGTGGGGTCATCAGGGGGTGTGGAGCATTGTGTCATCAATATGCTGATGACATCCAGCTCTACATCTCCTTTGCACCAACTGCAGGTGATGCCGTCATGTCCCTTCAGCGCTGCCTGGGGACCGTACTGCAATGGATGCAAGAAAATGGGCTGAGGTTGAACCCGGACAAGACGGAGGTTCTGAGGATGGGTGCCCCTGTGGTGGTGGCTTGGGTGACTCTCTCTTGTTTTGGGGGGGGTGACCTTGGCCACTAAGAGTGGGGTTTGCAGCTTGGGGATCCATCTGGACCCAGCGCTCACCATGGAAACGCAGGTGGCGTCGGTAGTCCGTACCGCTTTTTTTCCATCTTTGGCAGATTGCCCGGCTGTGGCCTGCAATAAGCACCCCCTCTATACGGGGGTGCTCACTACCTTGGTGCATGCGCTCGTAATCTCAAGATTAGACCACTGTAACATGCTCTACGTGGGGCTGCCTTTGAGGCTGATGCGGAAACTTCAGATGGTGTAGTTTGCACAGGAAGACAATACCAATAATCATGAAAAGGAGAGTTATGAACAAATTTCTGAAAAAGTTAACTTCATATACAGTAAAGTTTGTAGCCAATGTGTTTGTTGAGCATCCTCCCCAAAATTCTAGGGATCCCAATATTTATATTCAGGCTTGAGTATGAGGGGAATGAGAAACCCTCCAGATGTCAATCCCCCCCGCCAAGTTTTGACAAGCATTGGCTGCCCATTCGCTTCCGCATCGACTTCAAAGTTTTAATGCTTACTTATAAGGCCCTAAACGGTTTAGGACCTCGATATTTGGCGGAACACCTACACCCACCAAGTTCTACCTGGCTCACCCGTGCGAGTCCGGAGGTGAAGCTGAGGAGCCTGACGCCGAGAGAGGCCTGGAAGAAAAAGGGGTGAAATCGGGCCTTCTCGGCAGTGGCTCCTCACCTCTGGAACAACTTCCCTCCAGGGATTCGCGTGGCCCCTACGCTGGGAATCTTAAAAAGCCAATTAAAAACATGGATGCTTATTCAGGCCTTACCTCCAGTCAATACTTGATTCTTTCTTCTAATTTTTCCTTTATGTTTACTCTATTTTCTTGATTTTACATTCTCATTTGAAGATTTATGTAATTATGTTTACTCTATTTTCTTGGTTTTACATTCTCATTTGAAGATTTATGTAGCTACACTATGTGTTTTTATTAATTGTTTATGTTATGTTGGAAGACTCTCAGAGTGACCAAATAGACCAGATGGGCGGGATACAAATCAAATCAAATCAAATCAAATCAATCAATAAAGCCTTGCAAATTATTGGGCTTGGTAATCAGTGATTTATACCCTCAGACTTGGGTTGCTTTATTACCTGCGTGTCTGTGAGGTCATGAAGCTTGTATTTTGAATGTCTTTCTTTTGAAAGTCTCCAGCAAAAATAAATCTGAAATCAAAGGCGCCCGCCTTTTAAGGAGCCACGGTGCCCTCCCACTCCAGGATGTGTCCTTGTTCAGCTGAAACTAGCAGAGAATTTCCATACTCTCCAGTATGGGACTACTCTACATTCTCCTGCAGAGCAATATCTCTATGTACCGCCCAACCTCTCTTCTTACGAGAAGAGGGCAGTTTTTCCCTTTGAAATACGAGGGGGGCAGGGGAGGACTGCAGGATTAGAAAGAGAGAGACAGGTGGAGGAGAAGGAGTCAGGGAGGGAGCTGTGACTCATCAAGCAGCATTTTTCACTCGTCACAGATGAGTGGACGAGTGCATTTTTCAAGCCCTGCAAATTACCAAACCCAAAGGCTTTCCCAGGGCAAAAGGGAGCTCTACAGAGCCTTAGAATCTGCAAGGAGGATAGGGTAAGAAGCTTTCAATTAATTTAAATTAATTATTTCCAGTGCCAAATCTAGTTTTGCTGGTATAATTTTACACAACAGGATTTTGTCCAATGTCTTCCAAAACTTAACTATTTGCCCTATGGGTTTTTAATACTGTCATTTTTAAAATACAGATTTGGGTTAACTTATTCCTCTATGTAGAATGAGGCCTGTCCATCGTACATAAAGTGCAGTAAAATGTAGTGAGACATAACTGGGAAAAAATGTCTTATAAGCTGATTAAGGCCTTGCTGCTTGTCTGACGGCCTCTTGCTCAGAATGACCTCCCATGCCACTCTCACCTTTGATCCAGGATGTTACAGGTGGCCACTCCAAAGGCTGCCTAGAAATCAAAAACTAGGAACTGGGCCTTCTCTGTGGTTGCCGCCTCACTGTGGAATTCTCTCCTGGTTGAGGTAAGACTGGCTCCCTCCCTTCTCAGCTTCAGAAAACAAGTGAAAACACAGCCTCCCCCCTCCCGTTTTTTTCACTACTGCACCTCTCTTTTGCCACCATTGTTTATCTTACATTGATAGTTAGTATGGGTTTGGATTTCTTTTGTTTGCTTTTTTAATTTGCTGTTTATTATTGAATTTTATTACTGAATTTTAGTTATATTTATGGTGTGATATTGCAAGCTGCACAGAGTAGTGGCCTGGCCACTAAATGGGCAAGATAAAAATTTAAATAAATATATAAAGCTGGAAGAGGAGCAGATATAAGACCTTGGCCAAAATCCTGTTGCATAGTCAACTGTACTAGAGTAGGCCCATTAAATCAAGAGCGACTGATGAATCCACTCCTCCATAATTTTCTCTTGACTGAAATGGAAACACTCTACCTGCAACTTCCTTTAGCACAGTAAGTTTCAGTTTGAGTAGGCCCATTTGAATCAATGGAACTTAGGGAGGAGTTGAGTCACCAAATCCACATCAATTCAAAGGGCTTACTCTAGTGTGCTTTACCACTCTAAGCAACAAGATTCTGACCTATTAGGTACTGCAACAATGTTTCCAGAGTATACATGGGGCAGAGTTGGAATTTGGCTACACTACTGGGTCAGGTTCCTATGTCTGTATTTTGGTTGCTGGTGAGTAATGTTTTTCAAGTTGAGCATTTGTGTGTGAACAAATACTGGCTTAACATTCAAAGCACGTGTGAGAAAAGTGTTATTGTAGGGGTTGGGTTGTTGATGACTGATAATAAATTTTGGGTGGTTTTATGCGGGATTTTTAGATTAGGCATCCTTCAGTCTCGGGAGACTATGGTAACGTGCTCTGTATGGAGGACTTGGAACAGCGTTTGGTGCAGCTGAGAAGGGCAATTCAAGAGTGACAATCTCTTCCACACTGAAGACAAATACAATCTGTCCCGTCTAGCTCCCTGGTTGTGCTGTTTTTGTGACTGCATCTTTGCCTTGGCCTGCTGGACAAGGGTCTCTTCAAATTGGGAGAGGCCGTGATGCACCGCTTGCAGTGGGAACAGCACATGATAACAAACAGTGGGAATAGCATATGATAACAAACAGTCTTCTCTTGTTAATCTGCTCAGGGCTTATCATGTAGAGGGTTATCCCCAAGGTTCTAGCCTTCCTTGCATCTCTGTATTTTCTCCCAGTTCACTGGGATGTATTATGGTCTGAAAAACATCTGAATCCTTAATTTGAGAATCTCTGTCCAGGGGCCTGAACAGATACGATATCATAAGGACCAAATGGAGACAATGGATTTTCAGTCATGTTCTGGGAGTAGCTGTATGCTGCCTTCTACTAAAAAATAGAAGACATTTGGCTATTATGTAATCAGAAAGTGAAGTCTGAAGAGTGAATGTGTTGCCTGGACCAGTTTAAGTCTTTGGATAATGATGGATGGAAATTACTGAACTCTTGGTTCTCAGTCATGGGAGCTTTGTAACCACATTCAGTCAAATAAGGTTATGGGATCATACATAACAATTTTCCTTCAATGTCCAAAAGTTTAATAAGCTACCAGAAACATTGCAGTATTTGGGGACTAAAGTGAGTTTAGTCATTATTACATGTTCTGTGGCCCCATCTGCAAAAACACTGATAATTTTTCCTGGCAGATCATGAACAAATTGTAGCTTTTTTGGGAAGTCAGTTATAAACAGAGGGGTGATACGATAACACTTTTCAAATACTTAAAAGGCTGTCATGCAGGGGAGGGGAGGGATCTGTTTTTGATCATCCCAGAGTGCAATGGGCTCAAGTTACAGGAAGCCAAATTTTGGTTAAATATCAGTGGGACCAATTACCTCAGGAGATGGTGAGTGCTGGAGGTACTCAAGAAAACTCAGACAACCACCTGGCAGACATCCTTTGATTTGTATTCCTGCACTGAGCAGGGGATTGGACTTGATTGTCATATGGGCCCCTTCGAACTTCAGTATTCTATGATTCTATGATATCCCTTATAGAACTAGGTACTGTTCTTTCTGAATCTCTGAAATCTTGTCAGTTTTGCTGCTCCACATTAGGGATGTGCCTCTATCCATGTGGATTTCCAAAAAATCCACCACCACAAATTTTGCCACCAAAACTTTGAGTTGGTCAGAAATGAGAAAAGTAATGCTTTTAGCATGAAAGTACTACATTTTCTTTGAAATAAGGTATGTGCTCTCCACGCTACTCATTTACTCTTAGATTCAGAAGAAACAATCCCTAGAACTGAAGTTACCATTATATAGGAAAACAGCTAGTATTATTTTCTACCATTGTGGCTTATCTTTCCTCTCCCCACCCCCAATCACCACCTAATCATATGAGCAGCTGCAACTGCCTGTGTACAATCTGACACCAACATTTACAACTGAAAACAACTTGCATAACTATAGAGTGGCCACGGCTGCTCAAATGCAAGATTAATTATGTGAACCAAACTTAGATTGGAAGCATAAGAGTTACTATACATACCCTTTCAACAGCATGAACAGTATATTTTGCTGAGTGCAGATATATTCAACAGTGGGGGTTCTTGTACCGATCTGTCTCCTCAGAATGTTGTTGAATATCTGAGCCACATCCTTTTTACCCTGACAAAATGCAAGCCAAAAAGCATTACAACATTGGAGTTACAAACAGCAATGGGAAACATTAGAAGCATGTAATTTCATGTCCTTAAAGCAGCAAACGGAATTGACTAAGAATGACTTGAGCCCAAGAACTCCTAATCTAACTGATAAAGGGATACCCATTTTAATATGAGATAAGCATATTATCAATGTCCTGCTTGATGGTTTAAACATCAATGACATTTCAGGTTACAAGATTTCCCCCTCCAGTTAATTAATATTACTATAATAATAAATAGTGGTTGTATTCTACAGCAGTGGCCCCCAACCTTGGGCCTCCAGATGTTCTTAGACTACAACTTCCAGAAGCCTTCACCACCACCTCTGTTGGCCAGGATTTCTGGGCGTTGAAGTCCAAGAACATCTGGAGGCCCAAGGTTGGGGAGCACTGTTCTACAGCTATCAATGTTCTTGGCTGCTACTAGGGAATCATCCTTCTCCTAGCACGAGATAACAAAGTTATAAAGGGAGTCATCTTAGCCCATGATCCTAACTAACGCCCAGATTGTCTTTCTCTTGTCCTCTACTTATGAGGAAGACTACATGGTCTGAATCCACCTAGAGCAGACCCACTGAATAAACGGGATTTCCAGAAGTGTTGCCTCACCATTAACAATTGATCCAGGGAATCTACTCAAGCTGGGACAAACAACTGGATTCAGGGCCATATGCTGAATTTATACAGAGATAAAATGGAATACTGTGTCTCTATTTAGTACCCATTCCACCACCCATACTGTTCTATTTTGCAGCAATAAATTACATGAGGGCTGCGCCTGAAAAAGCATCCCTCCCGGAGTGATGGCAAATAATCAGCCACAATCAGAGAAGGCAAGCTTTAATTTAGAGAACCTGCTTGTTCTAACAATGGAGAAAGCATTGATACTGCCACTGTCACTGCAACTAAAGTTGTGGGGGTACGAAATAAAGAACCTGAGTACCAGCTAGCATGCATATTTTGTAAGATATAGGAAAGCAGCATAGGAGGACATGTATAGGAAGAGCCCCCCAAAGAAGGCAACTGTACTGGAGTTATGAGTTCAAATCTCAGATGAAGCAGATTAATATTGTGAATTGAGCTGACTGGGGATACTTGGGAGTTGGTGGGACTGAGAGAAGTGTTAGATTTGGAAGTCAGTTTCCAATACAACCATTCATCCACACCCATTTGTCCATCAGAATCCAAGAACATTGAGAGTTTGCTTAGACTGAGTTGGGCTGGCTGCCTGTGAGTGTTGGGAATGGCCAAATTCTAGTAAAACTGAGCATGGTAACTAACTGGTTCAAGAGTCTGTGGAAACCTTGAGACAGTGGGCAGTAGGGCACTGTGTGGGGCTCAGGACAGGAGGCTAATGAGCCTAGGCAAAGAAGAGTTGCTAATTTAACAGAGGTGAATTTGAGAAAGTGCCCGTATTTAAACTGAGCTGTACTGAGGAGGAAGCTGAATATGGGTGGGGTATTGAGATTTCTGCCCCACCACTACCATGGAAGAGGTAGAGTCAAATTATAGAAGCCTCCTTTTTGGGAGCAACTCTAGCCCTTAGCACCTTTAGCCCTTAGCATGGTCAGTGCTTAGCACACAGTGTGGTGCTACTGGCTGAGCTGCTTGACTGACTTTCTACAGTATTACGAAAGGCATCTTTTTAATCCACATGAATGGTTCAGTCACCTACAACTGAGTCTATGAATTTTTGTATGAAGACGATCTATCCTGGTATAGGCATAGCAATGGTGCATGGAAGATCCCCTAAATAGTATCAGGTTTAGGTCTTTGCCTCCCTAATGCATGCAGAAGTCTTATTAGGGACATTATAGTTACTTAAGTTGCTGAGCAGTCCTTTCGCTATATAACTTCTTTCTTTATGTAAGTTTCCTCAGGAGACAAGCATATCTGCCTGAAATGTACTGATTATAATACTACACAGGGCAAGTGTAGGGCCAGAGGCAAGGAATAAAATAGAAACATAAGGATTATCAGTCATTTATTAATAGTTGTAGATTTCTCTGTGAATTAGAGTGTAGCTATGTACAGGAGCCATTTATCTCTGAGCAGCTCCTGTTCAACCAAGGCTAACATCTATATGCCACAACTACATGGGTAAGGATTGATGACACGAGAACAGCCATGGGACTAACACTCTATTCAGGATTATTCCACTGGAAAGACTTGTATCATCAGAACCTGTTTTAATTCAACAATATCACAGAGACCACATCCCAAGCAGCTGGGTATTTGACTGTGGTCAACAGTGTAAATAAAAAGTATTCACAAAATAAACAGTTTCTTCCATTCTAATTCCACTGTAAATTGGCTCAAAGCAGCACTAGTGTTCTTTGTTCTGGCTATGAGCAGGGCAGCATTTTGGAAAACTGCCTCACCAAAACCCAATGCATCACAACAATTCTGTGTTATTTAGGAGCTCAGCCAACTTCACCCAGAGTCCCATGATTTCTTCTGGATGCCATCAGTAACATCATTTCCTTGTTAGTTACATAATGAACTTGGTAGCTTCACAACAACAAACAATTCATTATTTGTTTGAAGTATTTACTACTTCCAGCTGATGTAATGTTGTCACTACAATGATAAATAGACACAGAGAGAGCAAACACTGGCAAGGGGAAGAATAAAAGACACAAGAATTGATATAAGTGGCTAAAAAGATGTTTAGCACCTAGTTTGCAGAATCAAAACAAGATTACTTCAGTAGTGCAGGCCCTTTCCATAGGATTCATATTCCATTTTCTAGAGATGTCATGTGTCTGACCAAAAGTTACTAATATCTAACTGAAGAAGAATGCATTCACACCTGAAGTCTAAAACAGCTAACTATAGCTGTAGAAATAATAAAAAAGAAAACTGAACTAAGTTTTTTGTTTCAAATTCGTAATAATTACTGTATAATGAAAAGTAGGAAAATCAATAAAACTCTCAAAGAACAAGGACTGGCTACAAAGACTGCTCCAAGTGGTACATCTAAATATGGTAATTTTCCTGGGAAACCCCCTCGCTATGCGAATTCATCGTTAAACGAGGCATTCGCTAAGCGAGGCACACTGTATAAGTTCAAAGAACAGCCGTCCTGCCCCCACATCCCACCTCCTTTCTGCTGCCTTCGTGGATTATTCACCCTAAATGCAGAATCTATACTTTGCTGCAAGTAAAAGTTGGCTGCCCACAGCACCACCTTGGACTCTTAACAGCCACATGCAGTCTTGAGAGCTGACTACAAACTGAAGAAACATCTGCTCGCCAGGCAAAACTATTAATTTGACTAATTTGGCTTTAATTGGCTTCTTCTACCTGGTGAATAAACAAAATTATAACCCCAGCTTTTTAGGAGAGATTGCTGTGTTGCTTTTGCCCCCCCACCCAAAAAGATACTTTGTGTTTTTGAAACCAGCAATGTGTTGGTGTGGGGGGGGGGAGGCAGTCACAGAGCTATTAGCAAGCCCTTAGTCTGAAGTGTGGGGTGGAAAATTCCTAACATGCTGCCCCCCCACACACACAGAGAGAGAGAGAGAGAGAGAGAGAGAGAAAGAGAAAGAGAAAGAGAAAGAGAGAGATTTTGCCAAAATCTGAACTCCCTCCACATGGGCAGACCTAGCACAGATATCTGCCATGAATTTTTGAGACCTTTTCCTACAATTCTTCTACACTATGAGAGAGAGAAAGAGAAAGAGAAAAAGAGAGAATTTGCCAAATCTGAACTCCCTCCACATGGGCAGACCTAGCACAGATATCTGCCATGAATTTTTGAGACCTTTTCCTACAATTCTTCTACACTATCCATGAAGAGGAGGTGCCCAGCATTATACAGTAGAATTTTCTCCATCAAAGCTTGCAATTTTCTTGATTTTTTAGTTGTCCAATAAAGGTATCATCCTAATCTTACCTTGCTGTAAGTAACTTAACAATAACTGAAGAAGATTTCTTTCTCTCAACTACTTTTAAATTTCAGTTTCTTTAATCTTACATTGCCATTTTCAAATTAAGAGTACCTAAAAAATTAGAAATATTCCAATATATCTGTGAGACATTTGAGCATCTACCTTCATCAGTTGCTCTTTCAGTCAGGAATCAAGAATCAACTCATTTGAAATGCTGTTTAATTTAGTTTAGTTTTTTAATAATTTGCATACACAAACATATGAGAGGCAGTAATACAGGTATAGCTTAATTATCTCAGTAATGATAAACAGACAACATTCCACAACCAATGGGAAACTGTGGCCCTTTGCATATTGTTTTTGACTCATGACAACATAGCTTAGGGGTAAGGTATTATGGGAGCTACAGTCCAGTAACAACTGTAGAGTCATAGATGTCAACTGATTTTAAAAACTTGACCCATATGTACAGTAGTCACATAGATTACTGGTGTTAGAGTCCTGCCACCACTAAATCACCCTGGGGAAGGGAGGGGGAGTATAGTTTTCCTATCTCTCATTTCCTGATTGTGTGACTCCAAGTTCTCTGTGGGCCATTATTAGTTATTAGGTGCAAGCTAAGTGTTCTTCAGAACATGCCCAGGAACATGCATCTTTGCTACAGACTGCATCCAACAAATAACCTCCACATGTCTGCCATGGCATAAATGTTTAGAGTGCATGTGGTTAAGAGAATTTGTGTAAAGGGGGAATAAAAGGTTGGGAGCTTAACACATTTTTTTCTTCAAATCTTTATTTAATACTATTGGGCGTTTCAACATTTGCCCTATTCCAGCAACCTAGTTCCATAAAACACTACCATAATTACAATTGTGTTTTTGTTTGCTTCCTTATTAATCTATCCTGGAATGCACCTCTAAGGGACAAGTATCATTCATAAAAGTATGAAATATAAAAAAACAGAAAGATCAAAGGGACTTGACATTCCAAAGTAAATCCATCATATAAGGATTCATTTAAAGGACAATCTGCTGTCTCGTTCATAATATTATTTCCTAGCATACCAGAACAAGTTCCTTAGATTTGCTGTAGTACTTTTTCAGTAAAAGTATATAGTTGCCATCTCATGATCTAAAATACTTGGCCAACATAATTACCAAGAAGCCTATTTGAAGGTACCTTGAGCAATACTGCCATAATCCAGTAATGCTTTGTAGGCAGAAGAACCTGCAGGGCCTTCTTTTGAACTGCATAAAAGGAATAGCTTTATTCAAACAAAAAATTCTTGCATATACTCCTGTCAGCGGATGTTACTACAGAAAGTACACTCACTGCAAGATCTCTACTCTAGACATTACTCTTCACAAAAATCTGTAGACGTGCAGTGCGATCTGAGCCTCCCATTATATAATTATTATAAGCATATGAATATGACCAATGGCAACCAAAGGGGAAGGAAACTATCTGAAGGGGAGGATTCATGATACCAGATGTACTAACATGATGGGAGTCAGACTTGACACTGAGAGATAAAACCTTACAATACATTTTAATATCCTGAGAGATTTTATTTCCCATAAGCCTTTCAGGAACTCTGTACATCTCACTCTAAGACAAATGTCAAACTACAAGATTTCAACTGGATTTAGACTGTGCCACAACAATGCTGTTTCTCTATTGTTACAAAGGAACAAATGTTCTTCTAACTTTCAGAAGAATACAGTAAAAGTCATAAAAACAGTATTTCTGCATCCATAGTCACACACACACACATATGGGTCACGAAATAGGAAACAGGAAAGACAACTTTGATATCTTTCTTGGGGATATGGTCTTCAACAGTGATGAATTTGAAATGGGTATCTTCTTACCTCAAAATCAATGAGTTGCAAATCAGCTACTAGGGTGCTAAGAAGACCACTGTTGTACAGCTCTTGGGCAAGCTGGGCCACAGCTTCAGTCTGAGGTTCCTTTTCATTTGTGCCATAGAGGATTTCTTTCATAGCAACTAGATTTTTTGAAACTTCTTCAGTAGCCTAAACAGGGAGGGAAACAAAATAGTTGTAACTATTTCTAAAACCAACATCCCTCTGCTGATCAGAATATATACTGTATTCCTAACAGAATATCAGAAACATAGGACTAAACAATCTACGTATTATAATAGTAATACTAAAATTCTATATCTAAAACGTTAATGCCTATTTCCATTCATAAGCACTTCCTAATTATACATGGTGGCTATTCCCAATTTAGACTTATACAAGTGAAACTGATGTTCATTTAATGAAGTGCTGGTTGAGATTAAGCACACACTCAGAAACGCAACAAGCACTTTGTTAATGAGCAACAATTTGTGTAAATTGGCAACAGGATTCTGGCCACTGGAAAAATAATGTTCCTAATTGTTTATGTAACTCGATATGTGCTGACGTAGATAAAAATACTTTTAAGTGAGTTTTGTTGCTATGAGTGAGTCAGTTTACTAGACCCTAGGACACGATACTGAAGTACTGCATAAACAGAAAAAGTGTGCAAGCTACAGATGAGTTGCTGTTTCTCTGCTTGTCACAACCAGTGGGAAAATTAGGATACTTTAGGAATTAACTAAGCATTGTTTTTAAAATGTTACTTTCATTTTGCAATACAAAGCCCAAGAAAGTCACACCTTAGCACTAACATAGAGGACACTTACTTTTATTTTTATATATATATATATGAAGGAAAGAGAAAGGTATTGGGGAGGTGACAGAATGCTAGCGAAGTCTGTTCCATGACTAAGTAAATATTGACAGCGCCAAGAGCAATTATATATACCACAACTCAACAGCTGGCAGCAAAAATAAATGTTGGGGTAAACCAAGAAGATCAGAATAGATCAACCTACATTAGAAAAGCAAGCCAAGAGCTTTCCTAACCCTCATATGTTGAATTTTACACAATTCAAGTCCTTTTAACTCCCACAACTTTTGAAGTAAAATCCTAGATTACCAGTCTGAATATACAACAGGGTTCAAAATTTATCAGGGACTGCTGTCTGAACTGATGCTGGAAGATCAAAATCAAACACTCTGGTCACTCAATGCAGAATAGATATCTACAAATGCAAGATTAGCACCTGAGAATTTTGATTGTCCCCTGCAAGAGGATTTTATAAAGATGAAGCTTGTGCTTCCTGTAAACTGTCTATCCAAGGTGAGGAGGAAGTTGAAGCAGAGAAGGCTTACTATGGAAAAGGCTTTCCCGACCCCTCCTTACCTGAAATAGCAAGTACAATTCGAAATTATTCTCTGCTTACCAAACACACTCACCTACTAGTGGAAACAAATATTATGTCCCTCAGAAAGACATGCTGTTCCCTAGGAATACTCTGTGTGCGTGATATGTGCTGTCAAGTCCCACCCAACTTATACCAATCCTAACTGGGGTGTCATACATGAGTGGTATTTAAGGAGTTGTTATGCCATTGCCATCCTCATGTGTGTTTCCATGGCCAAGCAGGGATTCAAACCCAGGTATCCTCAGTTCTAGTTTGTCACTCTCTCTACACTGGTTCCTCTATGAATACATCCTCCTTTTAGGAAGACAAAAAGCCTGTCTGCTATTCTTGTGAGCCCCTCTGCTGTGAAGCACTCCTTCTTTAAAAAGATAAGGTGTTGTGGAGTAAAACATTCCAAGTGATACCTATATTTGAAAATACTGGAACCTGACTCAAGAATGGCCTTGGCTGCCAGATGGGCTGTATATAAATGAAATAAATAAATCAAATATTAAATAAGATGCAGCAAGCTCAATACTGAATTCTGCCTATGTGAGATTACATCCTGGCCCCTCATGCTATTCTTAAATAAAACAATCTTCTGTCCCTCCATAAATGCAATCTCTATTTACATGGCATTAAGTCTAGGTAAATACTTTCTATCCATTAAGTTGCTCTCTCTGCTAAGCAGCAGAAGTATCAACCAATGCAGATGCAAAGCCCCCCCCCCAAAAAAAAATAAGGGGAGAGAAAAAGAAAAAATTGCAATTCACTTCAAGTGCAATTCCCCTTCACCAATTTGAGGCTGACAGAATACTGAAAAAGATGTAAGATTAATGATCTGGTATTTCCCATTACTTCAATATGTCCTTTGTCATAACATAAAAACAGCTGTTTAAAATGACAGCCGGTATTAGATTAAGTAGGAAAGAAAACAATTACTGAACAAATCAGTCCACTGAGTAACACATCCTCAACCTTGAGTCTTGCTTAGACCCTCAAAGCTTCCTAGCTTCCCATTTTGAAATAGTGATTAACTCTGCAGATTCCATACCTCCCACTTCTTTATCCAACAGCTCTTTATCTCAACATTTAATTTCTATTTCTAAGAACTAAAGCCAGTTTGGCACTGTAGCACCAGATCTTCATTCTCTTCTTTCCTCATCCCACTCCTGTAGGCACAAGAACTATCAAAAAATAAGATCTGGAAGGTTTTTGGGGTCTTGGGAAGGGAGTATCACCCTTCTCATTTGCAAAGAGTTTTACTGGTAGAAATCCAGCATTGGATCCTGCCTCTAATTTCTAGCTAATTTCGTTGGGTCACAAAGAGTAGGACACGACTGAACGACTAAACGAACAAACAATACTTCATGTCAAGTTCTTCAAAACTGTGAGATTGCAGGTAACATCTGTCACAAATACCTGGCAGAATGTTCAATAAATGCTTTTAAGTGACTGCATTTCCTTTATGACTTTAACTATTACAATGCATTCTGCCAGTTTTTTAAAAACAACTCAATCAAATAATCAAACAATAATTAAGTTGGAAGGGGACTCCAAACCCCTGCGCAATGCAAAAATCCAAATCAAAGCAGATCTGACAGATGGCTGTCCAATTTTCTCTTGAATGCCTCCAGTGTTAGAGTTCTCACCACCTCCCAAGGTAATTGGTTCCATTGTTGTACTGCTCCAATACTTGTGAAGTTCTCCCTGATATTCATCCATCTGACTTCCTGCAACATGAACCCAATCTTACACGTCCTGCACTCTGGGATATTGAGAACAGATCCTACCCCTCCTCTGTATTACTATCTTTGAAGTGTTTGAAAAGTACTAACATATATCCCCTCAGTCTTCTTTTCTCAAGTCTAAACGGGCCCAGTTCTTTCAGCATTTCCTCATAGGGCCTGATTTCCAGTCCCTTAATCATCCTTGTTGCCCTCTTCTGAACTTACTCCAGTTTGTTCGCATTCTTCTTAAAGTGCAGTGTCCAGAACTGGACACAATACTCAAGATGAGGCCTAACTAGAGATGAATAGAGGGGACTACCACCTTGGGGGATTTGGAGAGTATACTTCTGTTAATGCAGTCTAAAATAGCATTTTCGTTTTTGCAGCCACATCACCCTATTGGTTCATATTCAGCTTGTGATCTACAACAATTCCAAGATCCTTCTCGCATGTAGTATTATTACTGAGTCAAGAGTAGCCGTGCATTTGGGTTTTTATAGCCTCAGGCTTTAATTCTGTTGCTTTCAGTCCAATTCTGAAGCCCATCAAGATATTTCTGATTTTTTTCCAGTCTTCCAAGGTATTAGCTATTCCACCTAATTTCATGTCCTCCACAAATTTAGTAAGTATTCCCTGAACTCCCTCATCTAAGTCATTAATAAAAATGTTGATGAGCACTGGGCCCAGTACTGAGTCTTGTGGTACCTCACTTGTTACCTCCACTCAGTTTGGGAAGGAACCACTGATAAGTAATGTCTAACTATAGTTCTGTAACCAACCTGACTTTTGTGCTATGCAGCCCACAAGTTGCTATCTTGCTAATCAGACTATCATGGGGCACTTTGTCCAAAACCTTGCTGAAGTCAAGATATATTACTTATGTAGCACTCCCACTGTCTACCAGGGAAGTTACCTGATTTTTTAAAAAAGATGTAACATTAATCTGTCAGGATTTGTTCTTGACAAATCAATGCTCACTTCTAGTTATTGTTCTATTGTTTTCAAGGTGCTTGCAGAGTGACTACTTTGTAATCTCATCCAGAATTTTCTCTGGGATTGATATCAGGCTGATTGGTAGTTCCCAGGTTCCTCCTTGTTGCCTTTTTTGAAGATAGGGACAATGTTAGCCCTTCTCTAATCACCTGGCAATTCACCCATCTTCCACAATTGCAAGAAGACAATGGTTCTAAGATCTCTTCAGCTATTTCCTTCAATATTTTTGGATGCAACTCATCCTCCACCTTGCACATGATGTTGGAACTATGTCCTTATTGATTTAAATTAGGCCATAACTTGTACAATGGTTCACCTGTTTCTTTTAATACAAACTGATATAGCAGCACTATACACATTCGTTGGGTAGTAGCTGGGTCTAACAAAGAATCTGTTAGATCCTTCTTGAGGAGAGGAGACTGAGAAACCATGGCTTCATAATGCTAATTTTGCAACCAGAATGTAAAACTATTTCCCTTTCTGCTCAATGTTCAATGGAAAATGTTTCTTTGTGTTACACAGACCTGTTCAGTTTTTTAGCTAGCAATCCAGAGAGAAATACAACTTTACACAGAAATGAATCATTTCTATATAAACATGCCTGTTTACTCACAGAAAATACAGTGGTGCCTCGCTAGACGATGAAATCGCTTTACGATGGGTTATAGCAATCACAAAATGATGGTTCCATTGGGGCTTTTTCACTGTACGACCACCCGCCCCCGCTTTAGAGCACCTTGGAGGCTTTTCCTGCACCGTCAGGAAAAGCCTCCAAAGTGCTCTAAATCGGGCACGGGGGGTTTGGGGGCACCTCCGCCAGGGCTCTGATGGTGCAGGGGAAGCCATCAGAACCCTGGCAGGGGTGCCCCAAACCCACGTGCCCCGGCTTTGGGAGTCCCCCGGGGCTTACCTTGCACCTTGGGAGGACTCGCGCGGGTCCCTCTGCGCAGTGATCGGCGTTTGCAGAGGTTTGTCCAAAACCATTTTTAATGTTCCCGCCTCTTTCTCCGGCCTTCGGCAAGCCTCAGAAGGGAAAATGCTCTTTTTTTCCCTTTTCCCTTCCAAGGCTTGCCGAAGAGAAGGGACAATTAAATTACTTTGAAGCTGAAGTCACCTGTTTCTGGACCCAGATCTAAAATCGCAATGGGAATTAAACTTTCGTAGAGAGGATTTGTTCATCAGCACTTAATGCTGTTCACAATAGCATAACTATCAGTTCCACCCAAACCTTTGATTAAGCATAGCGGGAGTGGCTGTGCTTTTCCTTTCTGACTGTGAGGATGTTGATACTGCTCAGATTCTTGGGAATCTGAAAAATGCTTTACTGTTTTTCCATATTTACCTGGGTCACAAGAACCATATACTGAACAAAAAGAGTAGAACTATACAGCCCTTTCAGTTTCTAATGAAGATACAGTGGTGCCTCGCATTACGATGTTAATTCGTTCCAGCGAAATCGCTGTAGAAAAACATCGTAAAGCGAAATTAAAAAGCCCATAGAAACGCATTAAACCTGTTTAATGCGTTCCAATGGGCTTAAAACTCACCGTCCAGCGAAGATCTTCCATAGGCCGGCCGTTTTCGCTGCCTGTCTCTCGCGAGGAATCCGTCCCTAAACACAGCGGGGAGCCATTTTATTTACCCGGCGGCCATTTTGAAACCGCCCATCAGCTGTTAGAAAATCATCGTTTTGCGAAGAATCGGTTCCCGAAACAGGGAACCGATCATTGCAAAGCGAAATTCCCCCATACGAAACATCATTTTGCTCTCTTTACCTCATCACTGGAACTCAAGCCTGATAAAGTACATCTCTCTTGGACAAAGCCCCTGAGCCAGCATTTTCCAGATGGCAACTTATTCCTAGGACTAAGAGACAATGACTGGACTCCAGCAGGAGTATTTTCCCATGCCAAAGATCAATTAGGGTTTTAACTGAATTCCCTGCAAGGTAACAGGAACTACCTTGACAGCCATCAGGAAATCATACAGATCCGTCTATACTATAAGAGCCTCGTGGCACAGTGGTTAAACTGCTGCACTGCAGCCAAAACTGTGCTCACGATCTGGGGTTCAATCCCAGGTAGCCGGCTCAAGGTTGACTCAGCCTTCTATCCTTCTGAGGTCGGTAAAATGAGTACCCAGCTTGCTGGGGGGGGGGCAATGTGTAGCCTGCATAATTAATCTGTAAACCGCCCAGAGAGTGCTTGAAGCGCTATGGGGCAGTATATAAGCAGCACGCTTTGCTTTTGCTTTTTACTACCTGTGCCAGGGAGGCTCCAAATTCCAGTGAGTCTAAACTCTGCCAGGTTGTGATCAGCAAGACTACATAGAGCTCCTGCACAAACAGATTATCATTATCCCACTCAGTACAGAAAACTAGATCCAGAATCTGTCCTGCAGCAGGGACAAATACAGTGGTGCCTCGCTTAACGAGGATAATCTGTTCCAGCAAAATCTCTGTAGAGCAAAATCCTCGTTAAGCGAAATAAAAAAATCCCATCGAAACCCATTGAAAACCAATTCAATGTGTTCCAATTGGCTGAGTAACTCACCATCCAGTGAAGATCCTCCATAGGGGCGGCCATTTTCGGTGCCTGCAAAGCGAAGAATCCGTCCAAAAACACACCAGGGAGCCATTTTATACAGGGGGCGACCATTTTGAAGCCGCCGATCAGCTGTTTTAAAAACGTTGTCTAACGAAGAATCAGTTCCCAAAGCAGGGAACCGATCGTTGGGAAGCGAATTTTGCCTATTAAAACATTGTTTTGCGATTGCAAAACAGTCATCGTATAGCGGTTTTGTTGTTTAACGAGGTAATCGTTAAGCGAGGCACCACTGTATAAGTTGGGATACAACCATAGTTATCCAGAAAATATGAAGTTACAAGCCACCTCTGATAGAGGTCCCAGCATGGATGCTGATATGCCCCAACCTAACAAGCACAATAGCATAACAATCAGTTCCATCCAAACCTTTGATTAAGCATAGTGGGAGTGTCTGCGCTTTTCCTTTTTGACACCCAACTCTATTTTTCTTTTCCAACCAAATCTGAGGAAGTTGTTCCAGTCCTAACCCAAATGTGGTCATCAATAATGGGCTCGCTGAAGGTGAACAAACTGAAGGCTAATACAAAGGACAGATATAGCCTGGTGAGTTGATAGACAGATCAAGCAATAGGGATACAGCAATAGGGATGAGTTATTGTCTAAAATAAAACTTGGTGTGCTGCATTAGATTTTGATGAGGTGCTTGAAGAGCCGGATTGCCAAACTGAACAGAGAAGAATTGTTTCAGACAGAAAAGAGCACTGTATATTGAGAAAGTCCTGAAAACATGTACCATATTTTTCAATGTATAAGATGATACTTTTGTCTAAAATATTTATATTAAAAATTGAGGGTTGTCTTATACATAGGAGGGGGGAGGGATCAAAGCACCTTGATCCCTGCTTTTCACAAAGAAACTGGAGGGGTGAAGCAGGAATCAAAACACTTCAGTGATTCCTGCTTTCCCCCTCCTCTTTCTTGCACTTTCCTAGCAAGAAAGTGGAGAGGGAAAGCACTTTCCTTGCAAAAAGTGGAGGAAAGTAGAGGAGGAAAGAAAGTGGAGGGGGAAAGCAGGAATTGTCAAACTGCTTTCCCTCTCCACTTTCTTATGAAGAAATAAATTTTGGGTTAGAAAAGGGGGTGTTGTCTTATACATGGAAAAATACGATAAGTGTGAGCTTGAAATAGCAGTACACAAAGCTTCTCTCCATTTTGTTTTCTAGGTCAACATGGAAGTTTTTTACCAATACAGAAGGAAGGGAGATATATGTTCAATGAATTATACAGGACTATTAATAAACCTTCTACAATTGTCCCCCATCTCAGAGTCAGCATTTCAGTAAGACAAATGCCCAAAGAAGGAAAAGCAAAATATACCTTTTCTACCTTCTTGTCAGAAATATCTTGCTTTTCTAGAACGGCCATACTCTCCTTCAGATTCTTCACTATGTCTGCAGGAGACTTGTGTGATTTGCCAAAAGGAAATGGCATGGCTGCAAGCTACACGTGCCTTTTGTTCTACAAATTCTCCTTCACCTAGAATTAAAGAAGAAGAAAAAGCAATTGGTAGCAATACAACAAAATTTAATATTACTAAGTAAATGGTAGAAACTTAAGCTCATAGTTTTTCAGAGACTTGAAATCTTCCTAAAACATCTCATTTTTAGCATGAAATTATACAAATTCCATCTAGAAGTAAAATCCAAAGCAAGACATTGTACTGCTAAGAGACAAAACTTGTATCAGCATTTGGCAACAGAAGTGATGTATTACTGTATGTCACTTTTCATTATGAACCAAGGGTTATGTGCTTTTTAAAAAATACCAAATCCATTACGTGCATATAAGTATTAGATTCAGTTCAAGCGTTTTCTTCAGAGAAAAGATTCTGCAGCATCTGGAAGAATCATTCACTTTTGTTTTCATGCCAGCCAAATACATATGGGAGCCTGAGCTCATATGGGATCTTAATGCAGATGAGAATGCCACAGGATTAGAATCCAACTATATTACATTGTAATTATATTCTACTTTTATAATGGCTTTCAAAAAAAGGATCCAACCTTTGCTAGTATTCTGCATAGCAGGCTCTAACATATGTAACAAAAGCTACCTACAGATCAACTTGAAATAAAGACCAGCAGGCATTTCAGGTATGTGAAACTTTTGTATCCAAGCAAAACCCCTCTAGGAACGGTTTACAAAATGCATCATGGACAGCAATCGAACTGTTTGAAGTGTATGTGCTAATTAATAACACACCCCCTTAGATTACTTAATGACTGGACTTCTAGAATTCTCGATTGGCTGTAAGGGAACAGAAAAGCCTGCTCTTCAAAAATGCTGATAGGCTGTTACTCCTGTAGCAAACAAAAGGACAGTTGAAGCTGACAGAGCAGAGGTCACAGTGTCATTACAAAGAATGGCTGTCCCCACCTGACACAAATGAAAATAGCCCCCAGTCTGGGTCAGGAAGCATATCACTACAGCCCCATTCACAACAAACGTAAATAAATATCTATGCTGAGACAATGTGGGGATGGACAGTGAAACTTGGCACTATCAGCCAAACTCTATGGATCATTATATCACTCAGTCAGTTTTTTACTACTCTAAAGCCATAATCTGCAAATGAGAAGCAACTGTGGGCAAGTCTTAAACTGAGCACCAGAAAGATTGAAGAAGTTACAGGCAGAATAGACCTACAGCTCTCACTTCTACTTTTTTCAATGTTTGCTTTCATATTTCAACATGGCTTGTACCACAGATACTTACGCTTTATTTAAAACAGTTTTGTGGCACTACAAATACATTACAGCATCTTGTGAAAATCAGGTGAGGACCACTCATACCTCCACTTTTGCCACCTATATAGTGCAGGAATTTACACATTACATCTGGGGGAAGAATTTGCAGAAACAGCAATGTCAAAAATGTGCATGCTGCCTTTTAGATGTTAACATAACACGTACAAAAAGTGTTTTGCATAGCAGTTTAAGAGGCAGACAAGGCAGCTAAATAATACTACAAAGCCAGAGCTGAATAACTTTTACAGCAACTGCTGTTTAAGAAAAAAAACTTCAAAGAACTAGTTTTATCATTCTCTGGATATGGGAACATAATCTACAAATAAAACACAGGTTTTCTGTTCATATACTGTAGATCTGGTTAAATAGATAGCCCTATCTAACTGGAATATTTAAAAAATTGTATTTTATGTTTAGAAATCAAGGAAAGGCATTAACAGTCTCATGGCTAAACTTGTTAACCACAATTAGAACAGACCTACTAATCAAACAGGACTTGTTAACATTTAAGCAACTCTCATTTCTTCAATGGCTGAAATCCTGTTGCTTAGCATAGTAAGTAAATGAGTAGGCCCACTGAATCACTGGGTACTTCATGAGTTAACTCTATTAGTACCACTGATTCAATGGCCTTAACCCCAGTTGCTACTTAGTAAGCTAAGCAACAGGATTTCAATAAATCGATCTATTTTATTTGAGACAGAGGGTCAGAAATGTGCAGATGAGAGTGCTCTGGAAGTGGGACTGGTTCGCTCCAGCAAATACATTGTCTGATTACTGCCTTTAAAAATACATTAACGAATCTCTGAAGAGGACCAAATAGAGGACTAAACACACAAGTAGCCTCTAAAACTGGATTTAGCCCTTCATTCTCTACTTAAAGCTTTGTAATTCATATTGCTATTCAAGGAGCCATTGATGTTGTTAACATTTTATTACAAAAGTGGGTGCACACCACCATACACAAGAAAGAGCAAAATTGCTTTAAATCCTAGAACACTATTTGTGGAGATCTGCTTAACGACACAAGTCTAAATAAGCATACACCCATCTACTCATCTTGCAATGCACAGCTGCCCACAGCAGACAAAACTAGTATTTTGTTATTTATGACAATCACAACTATTTACATGAAATAATTTATAGCCACCAATAAACAAAGGCAGAGGGGAAGTACATTATACATAAATAAGATTGAGAACTGTCTTCTGTTACTCAAAATAGTAAGCTGATGTCCATTCTAATTAAAATGACATTTCCCTTGTACTCAAGAATTATGTCTTTTCCAAAACAGCTGTCATGTAGCATTATACACTTCTCAGATGTGTGTGTTAGATAGCCCTGCATACACTATATCACTATATGTTTGCAAATGTTTCTTATTTGATTATTAAGCAACGGAACAGGTTTCTAGTCAAAGTGACTGCTTACTTCTCTGTATCTGGGAACCACGAATGATAGAATGGAAAGGAAAAAGGATATCTATTTAGGATATAGTTACTACTCTTTCACTAGCAGATGGAAGTACCAAGTCATGACCTACAGAGAGACAATAACATGCAAGGAGCAGTGGAAGAATGCAATCCCCTTAGCTGACAAAGAGAAAAACTGAATGGCAGGAATCAAGAACAATATAACAGGTTATGCCTTATCTCAAGAAGACCATTTTTTGAGTCACTATTGTGTGTTTCCCATAAAATGAGGCAAGACAGGTAATCACTAGACAGGGTCTTCACAGTGGTATTGCCCCAACTACAAAACAGCCTTATAAGACAGGCTTATCTGATGCCTGGAGCTCACTCTGTTGCATGGATTCAATCTTACGACTGCTGGTCTTCTGATCTTGCAGTACAGAAGCTTCTGCAGTTTAACCCTCAGCACCACCATGTCCCTTCACTGTTTACCTTGCATTAAATATTGCATTTGTGACCATTCAGAAAAACTACTATTATGCCATAGATAAACAGAAAAACAAGTAAGTAAGGCTATACTGCAGTCATCTCTGACAGAATACAGTGTTATTACGTGGCTCATAATCTGATGGTGGTGTTCTCATGGGCTGCTACCTGTACAACATAGTGTCTCCATCCTGAAAGCATACATTCAGGTACCTTAATCTGCAGAATCATAAAGCCATTTATTTTAGCTGCTGTAGCATATTTAATAGCAGTTACCAAATTAGAGTGCCTGGATGCATGTGTCAATACAGTGGACCCTTGACTTACAGACGGCTTGACTTACAGACTTTTTGAGTTACAGACTTCTCTGGCCGCAAAATTTAGCTTTGACTTGCAGACTGAGATTTGACTTACAGACCAGAAAAAAACCAAAATGGAACAAAAACGGCCTGTTACGGGATTAATCGGTTTTCAATGCACTTTAGGTCAATGGAGACTTGACTTACAGACTTTTTGACTTGAGAACCGCCTTCCAATACGGATTAAGTTCTCAAGTCAAGACCCCACTGTACATACAAATGGTGCTGCCTTTGGACATCTAACAGATAATAGCTGATGCAAAATATAATTAAATATTGAATGAACAAACTTTCTTTATAGGAAGTTAGCAGAACATAATTACAAAATTTTATTCACATTAAAGGATTTGAAGAGCTAATAACTCTAACCAGTTCACTTTTGTTTATCCTTCTAATTCCCAATTTAGTAAACCACTTCAAACTCTTTCCTGTGCTTCTTTTCTTCTGTCTCTATTCCCTTAACATAATCTTATTTCTGCTTTTGGGTCTATTCACATAAAACCAAAAACGCATATACTTTCAAAATAACTTAGCATGCAGATCATGAATCCACTAAAAAAGCGTGATTAAAGTTATTTATTTAATTATTTTCTAGGCTTTCTCCTTGTAGAGGAACTCAAAGTCCCTATAGAGGGATTCAAATTAAAGCACAAGATCAAATCTTTGTTCATGAATTAGATTTCCCTGTATAAAACTGTAACAGGGGGGAAGTGTGTGTCTAGTGTATTCTACTGTTTGGGGGTGGTGGTGGTGGAATAAACCCTAGCATCTTATTTACATACAACTTTGTTTCAAGTATAGAATCATAGAATCACTGTAGGGTTTGAAGGAACCTTGGAGGTCTTCTAGTCCAAACCTCTGCCCAATGCAGAAGACTTCATACCATCCCAGACAGATGGCTATCTAATCTTTTCTTGAAAATCTCCAGCGATGGGGCACCCACAACATTGGAAGGCAAGCTGTTACACTGCTTAATGGTTCTTGCCATCAGGAAATTCCTCCTTATTTCCATGTTGGATCTCCCATTGGTTCTTGTCCTATCCTCAGCCACAATGGAGAATAAATCAATGCCCTCTTCCCTGTGGCAACCCTTCAGATACTGGAAGACTGCTATCATGTCTCTCCTCAGTCTTCTTTTCATTAAACTAAACATACCTAGTTCTTTTAGTCGTTCTTCATAGGATTTCGCCTCTAGTCCCCTTATCATCTATGTTGCTCTTCTCTGCACCTCTTCCAGGGCCTCAGCATCTTTTGTATTGTGGTGATCAGAACTGGACACAGCACTCCAAGTGTGGCCTCACTAGCGTAGTATAAAGTGGTATTATCACTTCCCCCTGATGCTATGCCCCTGTTGATGCAGCCAAGGACTGTGTTGGCTTTCTTGGCAGCTGCAGCACACTGCTATCTCATCCTTAGGTGGTGGTCCATCAGGACAACTAAATCCCTCTTTCTACTGTCAAGCAAGGTACCAC